AATCTTAATCTTTTAACATTGTTACATTTATTCATTTTTTAATTAGTTCTATATTTGCATATGGTGAACTCAATGGTAATTATAAGGACAAATTTATAATTTCTATCCATCTCAAGCCATTTAACTTCCATTTAAATGCAGGAGTTATGGAGTTTTATGATATAAGATAAAGAATTTGAGAGGTAACTTATAATTTGACGATGATTTCATTGGATGTGGATATAAATATAAAAAGAAATGAAAAAACGTAGGAATAAATGTGACATTTTGAAAGGTTAGGACTAAATGTGGAATTAATATGGTAGTCGGGGATCACAAATTGAATTAAATATTTTTCAAATTACGTAGAAGTTTTAATTTTTCCTTAGAAATGGTACATGGGTTTCATTGTTTTATGTTGAGACTAATTTTATTTGTGTTAAGAAGGACCTCAAAGGGTAGCAAAGCACTTTTCATGAATTTTAAGGTAGTTGCATTCTTATGGCTCGATCGAACACGAGAAAAAAGACCCATGGCATCCCTAAGGAGTTATAATTCAAATTGAATTCATATACAAATTAAATATACAAAAAAAAAAAAATAGTGGAAAATTAAGACTGCAATTCGTTAATCTCTGACTTAATTTCTATATTTTATATTGCATCACAGTGAAAGCAGCAACGATAAGAAGCTAGCTACAGAACAACTGCTGCAGATGATATTCCTATCCATTCAGAACGTAACAACGTTTATGCTAACGTTAAAAGAACGTTCCGGATTACTTTAATTTGTCAAATAATTATTTCCGTGAGGGAAACTATTTCAACTTATTATAATAATATAATTATTGTGATCATCATCACAGGCGTCTTCGAATTGGAAAAGACATGCGGGCACTTGCCTCGAAAAAAAATATTTAAGTTGGTAAAATGTGATTCTTATATTAGAAAATAATGAATTTAGTTGTTAATTATAATCTTATTACTAATATATCATTGGTCGAGTCAATTACATAAGGTCTTTATAGTATGTGTTATTTTTTTTTTTTGTGTAGTTTATGAGCTATTACAGAAGAACAAGATTTACTTAATATATACCATTGAATAGTAACGGCTGAGTTTCCCTAATCACTTTGGATGAAGCTGCATGCTGAGTGCACACTTTATGCTTGATATGAAAATTCATTTTTTTCGTTTTTGACTAAATTAAAGTTACATACCTCCCATCTATACTAGGACCATATATAACACTACAACTTCTATTGCTTCACGTGTATCCAAGAATATGTGCTACTTGCAACAGAATAATATAAAGGATGAAAACGAGACATGCATTAATAATTACCACAAAATTCATGATAATGGAAGACATGCAAAAACATTTTTTTAGACATAATAATAATATTGTTAGACATAAATATAATCTAACATAAAATTTATATCATCTAAACGTGAATAGATAGTCTAACCTCATAGCATCCGAAGCAATAGTATATCGAGTACTTCCAATTCGACTATAGTTGATATTTTCAGTTTTGTGTTGCTTGTGAAAAGGTAGAAGTGTAGGACCGGAGTTTTGCTTATCATATTGCTAGAAATTCCTTGATTTTCATCCACCCAAAACTAGGGTTTTGTGGACGGAAATCACATATCCGTTCACTTTTTTTTTTTTTTTTTTTCTGATAATGAATTAAAATATTTATAAAATTTTTGTGATTGCTAGTTAAAGGAACTCTTGACATTACACTTAATGGGGACCAAAGTGGTCTTAGAAACCTTAATGGCAAATATACTATTCCATAAATGATTGAGTTTACACTGCTTTGACTTCAACTTTCAATTCTGTACTTTAATCCATGTATAGTAGCACGCACCAACCTAATTATAACAATAATAATTGAGTTTAACACTGAGTTTATATATATATATATATATATATATATATATATATATATATATCAGACATTCATTCTTGGAGCTTGTTGGGTAGCTGTCAGCTGTCAAGTCACATATATATCACCAGTGAAGAAAGATGATGCTGTAGCAGCTAGCATTACGTATTTAATTTGAATTGGCAATGACAAATTGGCATTTTCTTTCATTCCTTAGTTGTTTTGTTCCTTTTTTTTTTTTTTTTTTAGTTTCCCAATTTCGTCCAAGTATATTCTGAACTTTATGAATTTGCTCTCACATCCATGTAAATTGAGTTAATCTTAATTTGATACTCAACACCTTACCTTAACGTGGAGAGCAAGTTTTAAGTGAGACGTCGTCATTGGCAGCTCAGTTAGTTAGTTCTTGGATGGCAAACTATAGGCAAGGACACATGATTGGGCCTTGACAGTCATAATGTGAGAGTTTAACCTAATAATTAATGTGATGTGCTTCTTATAGACACCTAGCACTAGTACGTCTTTCTATCTAAAATAGGCCACTGAGTAATTTATTTTTTTACTATCCTGTCAGACTGAGATGTGAGATCTTGACGGCAAGAAAATTTACCTTTGTGAGCAAGTGTTAAGTGAGATTTCTCTTCCAAATACGGGTGCTGTTTGCTTTTTCACTTTATATGCTAATCTGATGCATTAACTTTTGGGTGTTAAAGCTGGCTCCTTTGGGGAAAAAGGAGCCAAAAGATAATATCTTTAGGTAATGCAAGAGGAAGGGCAGACAATTATATTGTGGGTAGGGTATACGGGAAAGCATGCATGATGCATGCATGGATCCACTGTAAAAGATGGGGAAACAGTGTGTGAATGACGAGCATAACTGTACTGCAACTTCTACTGCAGAAGATATTAAGGCAGGCATATATATATATATATATATATATATATATATATATATATATATATATATATATATATATATATATATATATATATATATATATAATAATAATAATGGGTGATGAGGATGACGCAACGATAAAGATGAAGGTGATAGACGGATAGATGGGTTTCACTTTTTACTTGGATTTGGTGGCTAGCTAGATATATAGGTTGTTGATTGGCCTGGGTTTGCAGATTTGGTAGAAAATCTTGAACTAGATGATGATGATGATACAAGAACTTTTGTGGAGTGGCATATATATATATATATATATGTACTAGCTAATTTGTCCGATGACTACTCGTTGAAATTGGGGATTTTAATTTGATGAGATTTTATAATTCAATCTTTAGTTCTTTACCACTATTTATTATAAGTTTAAACTTTATAAGTTAAAAGCCCTTCATTGCTCAAGGAGATAGGTGAAAAAGATAAATTACATACAGATCAGATGTATCTCAGTTGATATACATGATTCCAATTGCTTGTGCACATAGGAGCCACAATCAAGTTTAATAATATACTCTAAAACTGCTAGCAAAGCAAAATCTATTATAAATTTATTTTAAATTGATTAATCAGTTGAGTTGTACCTCAAGTTTAGAGTATAGACTTCTCTTTATTATAGTACAAGCATTCGGCGATCCTTGGTCATTCTTTTTAATTTTTACCACTGTAACCAGTTGAGCTGCCAATGCAGGCAATATATAAGTCAATTTATACCATCAATTATATATCATCTCCGGGTCAATCGGGTTAGCATCAATTTCGGCAAATTTTGGCAAAAATATAATATGATATTTTATATATAATTTAATTATTTGTCTTTCCAAAAGCTAGGATAGTTGGATACTTAGACGCAACCTTCAAAAGTATTAAAGCACCCTTTATTAGCTAGCCTGCATGCTCTTCCGTCATCTTCTCGTATTATTGGAAGAGCCACCATTATTAATGGTTTAATGTTGCAAGGACAAAAGAAAAGAATTGAAACACAATCATATGTGCTGCCTGCCTTTTTTTCATGTCCTTATCAACCTAAAAGAGATTTCCATCTTCCTTATTCTATCTTTGCTTGCTTTTTTGGATGGTGGAAAATAATATAATGTTCATGTTCATATTCATGCTCATACGTGCACGTTGGACAGCACTAGTTGAAACAACCTATCTTTTTTTTTTCTAAGAATCCCTAAATTTTTAGGAGGAGTAACAAGCAAACTCGACCTAATATTAAAAAATGAATCATGTAACCATAGATCGTTTCTAATGATTTATCTCTTTCACTAAGATTTCAGAATGTCTTTCTACCCGACTATTAAAAAAAAACAATGGCTTTCCTCATCACTAATTAAAGATATAATTGAAGTCACAAAAATTATAGAATAAGTTCTGTACGTACTGTTTAAAACCACAGCATATATGCATGCAAGAAAATGCCAGCGGTGGTAAATACTACTGTCCATGAGAGCCTGTTTTCAACTTGCATTTATAAATGGAATATAAATAAATTAAAAATCCCATAATGGAACTATATTTTTTTTATAAAGAAATAATTACTTAATTAAACCTTTTATATATACTTTGGTCACATGCTGACATGCATGCATGACCCATAGCTAGGAAGCATGCACTTGCAACAGTACACACTCATATTTCATTACCAAAAGCCTGTAAATTTTATACTAATTAAACAAGAGACATATATTTAATTGGCAGCCTATTGGGATTTCATGATTTGTTAATCAAAATTATAGGAAAATAAATTATAACCACACACAACATGACAACAACTATATATACACATAGTTGGTAGCTTTAATTAATAGTAGTTGAGTGGGATGATTTCTTTTCTTTCCTTTGTTTTTAGTGTCCTTTTTTAAATTGCATTTGTTTATACGCAACTAATTGGGCGAGACATATATGTCTGGTTAAATTCACGTTTAGACTCGCATCATTTCATCCAAATCTCCGTAGGCGTTGTAATAAGGTTAATTTATTAATCCCAATTATGAAAAGTGAAGACACTACATACTAGTGATAATGATAAAATAATTTGTGGAAAAAGAAAGAATAATTGCAGCAAGTGGCAATGATTGTATGTATTTGAAGATGATAACTCATAAAGTCCTTAGCAGTTGACAGCAACATCCCAAAAAAAAAATAGAAAAAAAGAAAAGAAAGCAGCCAACATCCTTAGTGTGTACAGTGCTTTTCATCAATCTTGAAAGATAAACAAATAATTATTTGTCATTTTTTGCTTTTTTGGCTTCCTTTAGCTTGGGTTAAATAATGTGGCTATGGTGCAGTTCTTTCTTTCCTTGTGTTCTTTGTAGCCATAGATCAGATGATTCTGAAACTCTAACTCCCAGTTTATAGACTCACAGTTCCCTTCAAAGCACCAATAAACCAGTAGAAGATCAGATCAGAACCTGCTACAACCTTTCAAGCTAGGATTTTTTCTTCAGTAAATGAACAGGTTTTAATTTCCATCTTCTTTTTTAATTAATGTGATTTTTTCTTCCAGTTTTGGTGTTGTCTTCTTTTGATGAAAGAATATTCTCTGGTGGATATAGGTGCTTATACTGAAATATTAGTATCTAGATACCTATTTTTCTCCCTGTTAATGGGTATTCCCTTTAAACAAAAACCATAAGTTGTCATCTCCATAAAAGTTAGAATATTCTTGGCATAGTGAATTGGAGTAGAATCCCAAGTTTATGGTGTTTGTAGTGATCATAGTTTGAATATAACTTGTCAGAAACCCGAGGTTTCTTTGATGAAATTTCTGTGTTTCTTGGTTCTGTTGTTTCTGTGAACTCATCAAGGTTTGGTGATATATATGCATGTTGTGATGCAGATGGTTTCATATCAGGCCATGAACATGAGTTCTGCCACAACTCAATTTGCCCCGACAAGAGCCATGGCTGCCATGTATGAGCCTTTCCACCAGATGAGCGGGTGGGAGGAGACGCTACGAGGTGATATCATCCCCGCGGTGAGTGCGTGTGTGGTTCCACAGGCAACCGCGGGGATAGATGATAAGGTAAAGCATAAGCATGTCAGATTGAAATATGCGTTCTGTCTTAACTAACAGTCTAAGCTGATGTTCTATCTTAACTAACAGTCTAAGCTGATGTTTTGGTTCTGTTTTGTAGTCTGAGTATACTTCTAGTGACTCAGCAGCGCCCTCGGCCTCTGGGGATAATCAACCAACACAGGGCGTTGCAGACAAGGTACAAAGGCGTCTGGCGCAGAATCGCGAAGCTGCCAGGAAGAGTCGTTTAAGGAAAAAGGTATTAGAATGTTGTCATGTTCTTGAAGCTCTGTTGCTGCTAAACATGGTTGTAGATATCAGAACTGTCATCATCTCTGATTCCTGTTTGGACACTTGGGGTGTTTACAGGCTTATGTTCAGCAGTTAGAGACAAGCCGTTTGAAGCTAACACAACTCGAATTGGAGCTCCAAAAAGCCAGACAGCAGGTAAGGCTTTGCATATATATATATATATATATATATATATATATATATATATATATATATATATATATATATATATATATATATATATATATATATATATATATATATTCCTTTTTTCATGTTCTTGCAAAGATAACGAAACTGCATATTTATTATTTATATATATCATGCTCAACATTGACTAATTGCAGGGACTACATAGTTTTGGTGCCACCCGAAACATAGCGCTATGTGGGACTATAAATCCAGGCATGTAAAATGTAAATACAAGTGTTCTTGAGTGAAGTCTGGGGTGGAGGACCTGATGAACTGATGTTGGTAGCCATTTGTATGTGCAGGAATTGCTTCATTTGAGATGGAATACACACAGTGGGTGGAAGAGCAACAGAAGAAAAATTCAGAGCTCAGAAATGGTCTGCAGTCTCACGTGCACGATATGGAGCTGCAGTTGCTAGTGGACAGCTTCTTAGGCCACTATTCTGATCTCTTCAGGATGAAAGCTGATGTTGCAAAAGCTGATATCTTCTACTTGATATCAGGAATGTGGGTGTCACCAATCGAGCGGTTTTTCCTATGGCTGGGAGGATTCCGGCCATCAGAACTTATAAGCGTAATCATCTGATCTGCACTGCTCATATCATCTCACACATGAAAGTGCTGATTTCTGATGATGATAGCCATCAATTTGCAGGTGATAACACCACAAATCGAGCCCCTGACTGATCAGCAGCTCTTGAATGTGTATAACCTGCAACTGTGTTGCCAGCAGGCCGAGGATGCCCTCACCCAAGGAATGGATAAACTGCAGCAGAGTCTGGGTCAGAGCATGAAGCTGATAAACAGCAGCGCGGGAGGAGCAGGAAGCTTCAACACTCAAATGGTGTCTGCCATGGAGAAACTGGAATCACTAGAAAGCTTCATCAACCAGGTGGACTTGACTGTCACTCTTTACAATACACCACTAGATTATGAAACTAATTGGCCATGTTTCTAAAATGAGCATTGCTGTTGTTCTGCATAAATGCAGGCAGATCACCTCCGCGAACAGACTTTGCAGCAGATGTGTCGAATCCTCACAACCAGGCAAGCAGCCAGGGGGCTTCTCGCGTTTGGGGAGTACTTCCAACGCCTGCGTGCTCTAAGCTCAATCTGGGCTGCTCGTCCCTACGAAACCTATGACTAATATATACATATATGTTACTCTAAAATCTAAATCACAGTAGCCATTGTTTGTAACTTATGCTTGTAGTATGCTAGCTGGGAATGCCTGAGATGCACAAATCATAAGTAGATCTTATCAATGACCAAATATATATATAAAACAATAAATGTGTATCTACTATAATATAAACATGTACTTCAATGCATAAGATTTTAAAGAAAATAGATTAAACATCCCCTAATACTACTGCATATATTCATTGGCTATTCTTCAAGTGTCTGCGAATAGAGCTGATTTGTCTTTATGACATTGAATAGAAGATATGTATTATATATGATATATCCAAAGGATGATGAATTTCCATACAATACAATATTCATAATTTGGAGTTAGCACATATCACGCAAAAATGAATTTGAAAGTGAAATTCCGAGAAGGAAAAGTTCATTATACGGCCAACTGAAGGTCTCCGATATCAAGCTGTGCAGCAATATCATCAAGCTGCTTCTTTACACTCATATCGATCATTTTGGACCCGGAATCGCCATACCGGATTGTGAATCCGGCCACGAGAGAGGGGTCGAGCACGGTCTTGATTCGAACATTCTTCGCTCCGGTTAGGCGCTGAACGCCTTTGGCAATCTGAGCCAGATGCTGCGACTCCAGCTTCACCACCGAAGTGACGACGGCGAGCTCCGTGTCCGTGAGTTTGTTGTACACCAACTCGAACTCCTGCACGATTTCCTTGATCAGCTCGATGCGGTCCATGTCCACGAGGATGTTGAGGAAGTTGACCACGTGCGGCTGGAGCTCAGACGACTTGGCGATCTCGGCAATTACCTCCCGCTTCTTCTCATCGCTCATGATAGGGTTAGCGAAGAAATCGAACACCGATTCCTCCGTGAAGACTTTCTCGATCTTCTCCAAGTCGGCCGCGGTTGTCTCCAGAGTTCCGTTCGACTTGGCGACGTCGCAGAGCGCGACGGCGTAGCTTTCTGCAGGCGAGTCAACCATTTTGGCACCAAGCACCCCGCCGCCGCGGCCGCCGCGGGAGAGTTTCTTCGAGGGGGCCCTGACGGTGAACTTCGGAAGCCTAAGGCCTCCGGAGAAGGAGAGCTTCGCCGTCGGCGAGACAATGATTTGAGTCGACGGCGGTGAGCGCGACTGGAATGTGATCGGAGTTTGTTGCAAAGCCGCCATTTCTTCTTCCGGCGAGAGGGATTAGTGGAAGTGTTTTGAATGGGATTTGAAGGTGAGGAATGCGGAGCAATGGTTTTTTGATGGAAACGGACGGTAGAGATCGAGGAGAACGTTGTAATCGACGGCGCAGAAGGGGTTGATAATCTTGTGACTCTCGACACGGATGGCGTCTTATCTGGAGGCGATAAGGAGTTGCCACGTGTATGACAGGCAATAATCCTTTTATCACACTACTTTAGTGCTTTTTAGTTTTAGTTTTCGATTTTTTTTAGATCACTAAAAAAAATCCCAATTTTTACTTGAGAGTGCATTGAATAATTAGTATTAGCAAGAATTGAATTTATGACTTTTTACATAAAAATTATGTTATGTCCACTCAGTTACCTCTGTTCAAGATAGTTTTTGATTTAAATCTAAAATGAATTAAAACCAAACTTAAGGTAACACAATGACAAATTATTCTGTAGATCCGAGTCCATCTTGCAAGATAAATTTGAGTCTAAAAACACACAATTTACATACTGAATGTTCACAATTTATTTACTAAATGTTCAAAATTTTAAATTGTAAATTTTATATCTTGGACCACAGATTCACCTTGCAAAGTGGACTCGGATCCATAGTATAACACTATAACTAGCTACTACTCCTACTAGGCCAAATGATGGTGTTATCTTGATGGGCTTGTTTCGGCCCATTATGCGAAATGCTATTGGACCAACCTATTGGGTTTGAGCCAATGGAGAAGGTAAATGGTCCACACAATAAATGTTCAATAAACTAATTTAGATTGTTCAATAGTCAATCATTATTGATCCACACAAATGGTATAAATCATATTTTGTATAATGTAAAATAATGTACATTCAGTACAGTATATACAGTACAAAAATAATATACATTATATTTAGGAAATATATATTATTTTTGTACCGAGTGTACATTATATTATATAATATACATACAATACAAAAATAATATATTTAGTATATTTAAAATGTATTTTTTGTTATGGTCCACATAACATTGTGTGGACCATTAATTTGTCGTTAATAGTACTAAAAAAAAAAAGATTATTCATAACTAGTTGTTTCAAGCCAAGAAAGTACAAGAGTTGAACTTGAAACTTTGTAGTAATCAATGTTTTAACAATTCGAACAAACTTGGTTGGGTTACCCACACATTTTTTTTTATCATACCACAAGGTGTTGTCCACACAGTTTTGTTTTGAATGATAACTTTGTGCTCAGATGTCACTTTTGTGGTGGTGAGCTATTGACTCTTTGAGTTGCATTAGTTAGAGAAAGTATAGAAACTGAATGATAACTTTGTGCTCAGATGACACTTCTGTGGTGGTGAGGTATTGACTCTTTGAATTGCATTAGTTAGAGAAAGCATATAACATATATTTGTGAAAGTTCAAGCTAACAACTTAAACACTAGTTGTTGAAACTCTTTATATGGAGTAACTAAATCCATAAATTTGATTTTTTGCACATAATCTATTACACATAAACCAATTGAGCTATCAATGTTGACATAAATTTAATTTCTTTGAACATTTATTTGAATGTTTTTTAGTATTACTTTATTTAATTAACCTTTTATACTATCATTTACATTCGCTCTCAAGGAGACCACAAATCTCAGATAATTTTAAAGAAAAATTGTCAAATTGGCTCCCTAAGTCAACTGGATAGTGCAATTGGATTCTCTAAATAAAAATAATAATAAAAAAAAACTTCATTCAAGTCCCTTAAACGGATAAAATTGTTCAATTATAATCAAATTGACTTATTTATCAGGTTAAATCTATGTGCCAATGGCGGTTTGGAACGAGGGCGTCTGTCATGATCATCGCCCTCGTTCTAGATCTAGAAGACGGTCATGGTCGTGTTCCTTAATCGACCGTGGCCGTGTTCCTTAGACGGTTGTGGTTGACCGGTTGTTTTTTTTTTTTTTTTTTTTTAAATATTAATATGTTTAATTTTTAATAAATAAAAAATTTGTTTTAAAAAAATAAAAAAGACATGTGTTAACACCGCATAGATTTACCTTGCTAAGTATGTTAATTTGAACTTAATTAAATTACTTTACCAGTTTAGAAGACTTAAATTGAGTTAATTTTTTTAATACTATTAACTTTATTACAAGATAGTATATGTTCTATATTTTCTCTAACTAATAGTGTTGAAACAGTTTTTTTTTATTTAATTGGCCAATATAACCATTTTTTCTAATTTTAATTGTACTCAGATACGAATTGACACAAAACTCAACTCTTTCTCACCATGAAATGTCCACCTTGCCATGATATCTTGAGAGGCGGGTTGAAAAAAAGATCCCTTAAGCCGTAAGAAAACTGAGGACTTGCAGTCGTAATCACTAATCACCATATCGTTTCTTCTTGTTGGCACCTTCGTCGGACGCGTCTACTCCGTTTCTCATCATTCCCTTATAAACCAGTCTGAATCGCTATAGTTTTCGTGACCAATTTGCTTCCAAGACGCGCTCATAGAAACGAGATGGATTCCTTCTTCAACAAAGGCTTCAAAGCTGCCAAATGGTAACCGATTGTTATTTCTCTTCAATTTCTATAGCTAGGGTTTCCCCTTAGATGAGTTTTATGAGGTTAATTAAGACTGTGTGCGGAATTTGTTTGGTTAAGCTTCTTCGATAGTTAGGGAGATCGCCGTGGTTGTTTTTTTCTGAAAACTAGTGATGATCGCGAGTTCGATTCCCGTTTTTGTTGGAAATGAGAAATTTAATTCTAATTTAGAATTAATTTCTCTGTTCTGGATGTTTTGAAGTTACCTAGACTGGATATTTTGAGTTGTGTTTCCTTAAGTGTGAGTGTGCGGCTGATCGGATTTTTGCGTTTTGATTTGCAGTAAAACTCTATTGAAGCTGACGATCCCTCGGATAAAGCTATTGAGAAACCGTAGAGAGATTCAGCTGAAGCAGATGCGGAAAGAAATTGCCAAGCTTCTTGAAACTGGTCAGGAAGCCACTGCTCGGATTCGGGTATAAACGCACTCTTTCTATGCTAATATTCAATCCCAGTGCTCATACAATTATTTTCATTTTATATGCAATTCATCTAATCCTACCATTTGGAGATTTAAATGATTATTAACAATGGGGTTTGCTGTTGCTATATCAGGTGGAGCATATTATAAGAGAGGAGAAAATGATGGCTGCCCAGGAGATAATTGAGCTATTTTGTGAGCTCATAAGTGTTCGTCTTCCAATAATTGAGGCACAAAGGTATAGATATTTGGTTTTCTGATGGAATATTGGATTCTTTGATCCTTCTTTTTGAATGAGTTGTCAATCAAATATCTACGCCTAGATCACTATACCAACACTGGTTGGCTCTCTAATGTTGTGCTATCCACAGTAATCATGTTGCTTAGTTTGAGACATTTAACACTAGTATATTACAGAGTATTATCTTAAGATCTCCTAAATTATATACTCTTGCACTGCTACTGTACTTTAAGCAGTGGAGCAGTGCAGAGCTATTATAGAGTTTTCAAAATTTGAAGAGATAGGAATGGTTGTTTTGCTTTCTTGGCTGTTGAGTTCTGAATCTTCATATAGATCCAGATGGACCAGATGAAGCGTCATATTACTCATTAGAATGGGTGTGTCTATAGATCTGATTTACCACTCACTTGTCTATGCCAGGGAATGCCCCCTGGATTTGAAAGAAGCAATTTCCAGTGTATGTTTTGCTGCACCAAGATGTGCCGATCTTCCAGAGTTGCAGCAGGTTCAACTGGCTTTTACTGGTAAATATGGAAAAGAATTTGTTGCTGCTGCCACAGAGCTTAGGCCTGAATGTGGTGTCAATCGCCAGGTTATCCAACTTATTATTACCTATCATCAATACACAATATTATTGTAAACTGGATTTTATGCACCGTTGGTTGCTTCTTATCACTTCTCTTTACATTTGCAGTTGATAGAGCTGCTTTCTATTCGTGCTCCTGCTCCTGATGTGAAACTGAAGGTCCTGAAGGAAATTGCTGAGGAGCATGAGCTAGAGTGGGATCCAAGTGCTTCTGAAACTGAGTTGCTGAAGCACCATGACGACTTGCTTGTATGTTTTACCTCTGACCTTCATTCAGCTATAATTTTAATGCTCGTATCGTAACCTTACATGTGTTCGACTTTTGTAGCATGGACCGACACAATTAATCAGTGGGTCTAAGGTGCCTCTTCCCGAGGAAAAACACGATTCAGAAGTCTTAGATAAACTATCTGATGATTCTGATGGTGAGTACGACATATTAGATTTTCCGGAAGTCCCTAGGCAACCACTGCATTCAAACACAGCTGCTGCCTCAACCCCAGAAATGCTTCCTTTTCCTGCCTCTGCATTATCTGATTTCGATCATGAAGTTGAAAAATCTTCAGAAGTTAATGGTTTAGCATCAAATAAACCGGAGATGGAGCATGAGGAAGTTTTGTTGGAAAGGGAGCATAAATTGACTGATTTGTCACCTGCTCCAAATGAAGAGAAGCAGTTCTTGCCATTCATGGCTCCCCCACCAAAATCATCTTCTTCTGTGAAACAAAGTGATCTGCCTCCACCCCTTCCAAAAGCCCCAAGTGAAACGAATGTAGATTTACAAGATGTATTAGCCGCTGCTCAGGCCGCGGCTGAATCAGCTGAACGTGCAGCTGCTGCTGCTCGCTCAGCGGCGAGCCTTGCACAGCTCAGAATCAGTGAACTAACAAAGAAAAAGGATGATGCCGGCAAGGACCCATTCCATGTTGATGCACAGAAGGATGACAGCTCTGAAAAGCCTCATTTGGAGCACGAAAGCTCATTTTCCAGCTCCGATGCTGCTTCAATCTCTGAAAGCCCAAAGCTCAACGATCAATCGAGGCATCATCAACCTCAGAGATTGCCTTCTATCGACGATGAAACATACTTCTCATACCCAAACTTGTTTACACGACAGGGCTCAAATCTTAGTTCAAATGCTCAGTCATTCAACTCCAGGCCACCACATGAGCAGTGAGCTGAATCACTTTGCCCCACCACCACCACCACCAAAGCTGCCGCCTGCTGGGGCTGTCATAAGATCTTCTAGTGTCTACCTTATATTTGCCTACAAGTACTACTTATTTTGATTTGTATCAGAGAAAATGCAAGGGTAATCAATGTAATTTGAGTTTCTCAGTTGAACTGTGGTTTTGTAAAGATGCTTTTTTGACAATTAGTTTGATATTCTTTATTTCTTTCTTCCCATATAAGACATGAAATCTTGACGATTCATGAGGTCCAAGATAGTCCAAGATATACTCCGACAAATCAACAATAATAACAACCAACCAATGAGAACTTGGAATGAACCAACCATTAAGAATCAAGTATTAGGAAAAGAATCAAGCAATTGCACCCAAGAATTGAAAAAACATTAATTATATTAAACTTATAGATGACCATTGAAGAAAATGTCATCACCAATGCAGCCCCCCAAAAAAGGGGTCACAGGGCCTAACAACCTTTTCATAACTTAAGATCAAAGGTCACCTAGGACCAGACAGTTCAACCGCATGTAAATTTTCTGTGGAGTCTACAATCCAATCTGATGTAGAATGAGGAGCTGCAAGATTGATTTCCTGCCTGAGAACTTCCACCTTCTGCCACTCATCCCATTTCTCAGCCAACCCGTCGCCTTCCAGCATCCTCACCACCTCCGACATCTTGGGACGATCCATCGGGTTGCTCTGCGTGCATAGCAACGCCACTTGGATCAATTGCTCGACCTCGTTATCCACATAATTTTTCTCGAGGTCTGGGTCCACCAGCATTTCCAGTTTCTTCTCTTTCAGAAGTCCTTTCACCTTCAAGAAAATGACAGTTATTAAGTCAGAATGAATGCATTCGTGATTGTTGAGAGCAAAGATATATCAACTTGAGCTTTTAGTTTGTGATGAGAATACCCAATCGAGCAACATGACATCATCATCGTTTGCAAGACGAGCGAGATCAAAGGCTCTTTGTCCTGTGATAAGCTCTAAAAGCATGATCCCATACCCAAAGACGTCAGTTTTCTCTGAAGATTTCCCAGTAGATAGGTACTCCGGGGCTATGTGCCCGATTGTGCCACGGACAGCTGTGGTGACGTGAGTGTCTTTGTAATCCATGAGTTTGGCTAAACCGAAGTCCCCAACAACAGCCTCGAACCCTTCGTCTAGCAGTATGTTGGCAGCTTTCACGTCACGGTGGATGATCTTTGGATCGCAATGATCGTGCAAGTAAGATAGCCCCCTTGCTGAGCCCAAAGCAATGCACTTTCGTGTAGGCCAGTCAAGTGGCAGTTCAGATGGTTGCCGTTCTAAAGAAATAAAGAGCAAACCATAATCAAAAAACGTGTAAGCAAGAAAGACTAGTCGCAGCCAATGACCTTGTGGTCTAGTGGCACGGAGTGGCTCTCCCATATGGGAGGTCATGGGTTTGAGCCTCAGTGGGGCGATATTGACTCTTTGTGCTTCAGTAGGTTGATAAAGTAATTAGATATTGCATTGTAACAGAGTTATTAGTACTCAAAAAAAAAAAAAAAACACATTACCTCTCAAGCATGACGCGACACTTCCATTGGCCATATAGGGGTAGACTAGGAGTCGTTCAGTTGGTGTCATGCAAAAGCCACGCAACCGAAGGAGATTTCGATGCACTGCCATGCTAATCATCTCAACTTCCGTTTGGAATTGTAGCTCTCCGCCAGGCGTACGCTCCTCTTTTAGTCGTTTTACAGCCACCAACGACCCATCTGCAAGGCGTCCCTTGTATACCTTGCCAAATCCACCTCTGCCCAGGATGTTTTTGTTGCTAAAACTGTCTGTTGCAACCTGTAGCTCTCGGAGAGAGAACCTCTTAAGCTGCCCCAAGTGAACTTCGGGATCCTCTTCAGCTGTAGAATACCAAAAAAAAAAACCAATGATCATTGAAACCACAAAAAGAAAAACTCCGGTGGTCTGTCATAAGAGAACTACTGACCTGGAACATCGAAGAAAAACTCTGGTGGTTTTCTGCGACGCCACCACGCAAATGCAATGGCGGGGGCAGCAAACAGTAAAGCTGCACCTGCAGCTACTCCTCCCGCAATTGCTCCAGTTGCACTGTTTCCACCTGTTAAGAGTCCCACATTGATAAAATAAGAGAAAATATATGAGTTTATAAGACCATGAGTTAGACTAACTAATTGGTTGAATTTAATCTTTTAGTTTTTTGTTTATAACATGGTAGTTGAGTGAGTCTGGCCCAATTTTAATTTTTTTTAGTTTATAACAGGGTATCAGTGGCCCAATTTTAATTTATAAGTAAGACGTATACCAATTACCTGGAGCAGCAATGGTTGGCGGTGGAACAAACGGAGGGGGTGGAGAAAATGGTGGCGATCCTGGACAAGGATGTCCAGTGACGGGCCCACAAAGATCCAAGTTATTGGCAAAGCTAAATATTTGTAGAGTAGATACATAAGTTAGTTCTATATTTGCAGTCAAATCGATTTTAGGTGAAGTTATCAGCAACATACCTGATAGGCGTAAACAAGGAAAATGAACCATTATCTGGAACTACACCAGAGAGGCGGTTGTTTGAAAGATCCCTGAAAATAACGCCATAATATCTATGAACTTGTGCTCGGAAAAAGGAAAAGATATCAGGAGTTGCTATCGACTTGTTTACTTACAACACTTGTAGAGTCGTTATATTAGTTAGTGGCAGGGGAATGGAACCCGTCAAGCTGTTGTTGTTGAGCCGACTATCCTTGCACAAAAACCACAAGGACAATGTAGATGTTCTTAAAACGGACTTAGTTTCGACCATAGAAAGCACTTTACTAAGCAGTAACACCTCGAGATTTAAGTACTAGGAAATTAATGGCATAATAACTTAGGGACTCAAAGCAAAGGATAAATGTACATACAGGAAGCGCAGTTTTGAAAGCTTCCCCAAGGAATCCGGGATGGGACCCGTAAAGCTGTTCAAGTAGAGATCCAAGCTCACCAGATTAGTCAAGTTTCCGATATCATTGGGAATTGGCCCGGTTATGTTATTGCTGTACAGCTCCCTGTCACAAACCAAACCAAATAAGTTGTGGATTTTGTATTTCTTCACAACGGTTTCCAGTTCCAGAAGTCTAATGAACACGTGGCATTTATCTAGTGACAAGTCTAGAGGCTCTGTTTGGCAGAGCTTATTTAGAAGCTTATAGCTTATTTTAAGCTACTAATAAGCTATAAGCTCTGTTTGGTAATGTTCCCAAAATAAGCTCCTAGCTTAAAATAAGAGCTTATTTTGAAAGGCTACCTAGATGTAAGACCTCTCCTGAAGCTGAACAAGCCAGTAAGTAACATATCCACGATCACCAATACAATGAAAACAACATTCAACTGGGCAAACAGAAAGCGAACATCTAAGCTAAAACTTACAAGATAACACACCAAAACAGCTAAATTTTTACAGACTTACAAGTACTGCAAATTCTTCAGCAAACCAATCTGCGGAACTAATTGGCCAGACAAAGCAGCATTTCCGAGATCACTAGAAACAAACACATTCAATGGTGTTAAACGAACCGTACAGTACTCCACTAACTCAATACCCGGTCATTATGAAAAAATCGAAGCACGAATACATAAATTGCAGTGCACAAGACAGCGGGTTCTTACACGCGTATAACACTATTATCATTGTTGCAAGTAACATGGAACCATGTGCAGGGATTGACAAGGGTAGGGTCCCAACTTTGCAAAACATTGTTAGGATCTTCCAAATTGGCCCTTAGGCTGTGCAAAGCATCACCTTTTCACACAAACACAATATGAAAGCATTAAGATTTAAGACAGCCCTAATACTAATTAATCTCAGGAAAAACAGATAAAATTTACCTGCAAAAACTACAGAAGATGAATTGGGAGCCAAGAGATAAAGACTTCATTAAATAAAAGACAGAAAAACAGTAAAGAATGAATGAAAGATCAATAACCATCACTGTAGCATTTATTGCTAAGCTCAGTTCATTAATCCATGGTACCTTCCACAATCCAACTCATGTAATTTTTCAATCCATTTTCAAACAAAAATGTTTGGATTTTTTTTTGAAAAATCATTAAATTCAAACAAAAAAAATGAGAAAATGGAAATAGAAGCAAGCACCTTCCAAGTTAGCAAGAATAAGGCTGAATGGATGAACCACCAGGATCAGCCACACCACCAGTGATACCAATGCCTCTGTATGCACACCCTTCATCACCTATACATACAGATTTCCAGGCATATATATACACGCATATATATACACACACCAACACACTCTCATTCAACAAAACTAGCAAAAACCTATCTTAGATCCAAGAAAAACAACACCCATTTACCCAGAACCCACCAGAATGGGATGCTCTAAAAAACCACCCGATCTCAAACACCACCAAACGAAAAAAAGAAACAAAAGATTCAATCTTTTTCTTTCTTTTCTGGTTCCTTTGGGTTCCAGAGCTGCAGAAAAATCCCTCTTTTTTCAATTTTTTTAAAAAATCTCAGTGCAACTTTTCACATTTGTACTGCCTTTTACTCTCTCTAGCTGGCTGGCCTGCGAGAGCTCTGCATTTTCTCTCTCTACTGAGCGCTGAGAGATTATTATGTGTTCTTTTTGGGCGTGTCAGTGTTTTGGAGTGCTGCCCGAACGGTGGGTTGCCCGTCCTGCCCGCCCAACTCCAAACGGCTTCGCCGCTTCGCGCTTTCTTCACCGCGGCCTGTCAGTGAAAACACTTTTATTATATATATATATACAGTGAGCTCGAAAAACGAAAATGGATTAAAATAATACGGAGTACTCCGTAATAATAAAAAGAAATTAATAATTATTCATGATTAAAAACAAAAGTAAAGCGTTTTCTACCAACAAGAATGACTTTTTTGAAGATTTTTTCTTTTTTTTTCTTTTTTCAAAAAAATTGCGCCTGAAGAAAATGGCTTCCTCTTCTTGTTTCCGACAACAATGGCGGACAAGACCTCTGGTGGAACACAACGCTAGTTGTTCTACTTTCACATCCGTGTGTAATCTGTAAAAATCTTTCCTTGTTCTACTTCGAACGTACGAACATTAATATTCTGTGATATAAAGATCACTTCTTTTTTTCCTGCACTGCGCAGTGCGTCTTCTTCGCAGCCCACAACTCCCTTCGGCAGTTCCATTATGACCATTAATGGCGAAGCTTTAAGAGGTTTAAGTGTTGCAATA